TCAAATACTCTGTCTCCAAGCAATTAAGAGATTTATTAATACCAATATGTTAAATTAGTCTTTAAATTATAAAGACTGGGAGCAAATGAAGATCATATATCAATAGCATAAGATAATCCTGATACCCAAATTCACTCCATTATTCAGTTGCCATATTTTATTCTAACTTAAGTGCCCAAACCATGTTCAGCTATTGTTTCTATTCAAGTAACATACTACGTGGCAAAATATATCTAGTAAACTGGTAAAAGGCATTCCAGACCAAATAATATTATTGTGCATCTATATAACAGAAATGGATCCATGTGTATACATGTAAACAGACACAAAATGTGATTCTTTGAGGAAGATTCTAACCTTTGAACATCTAGATACACAAACCCTATTAGCACCGTCTCCACTGCCTCCATTTTCCTGTGTGATTCTTTAGTGTATTGGACATTGTCAAGATCATTTCTACAAACAGCATTTTCATTGCCTTACCTGGTTGGTAAAAACAAAACTGGATTTGTTTATCAGCATACTCATGGCACTACAATGTAATTCTTCAGAAGACAATCTAAGCTTTTCATGTATATTTTATTTAGCATAAAGGATGAGTGAAATAGTGAAGGTCCACATAGTATTAAAAAAACATAGGGAGGGAGCTCAGATGCTGTTCTGCAAATATGCAGATTGTTAAACAGAATAGAGATAAGATGAAATCTTAAAGTTTTGAAAAGTTTAACTGCCCTAAAGCCTACCAGGAATTCTCCAAATACCACCTTCTGGAAGCAGTCATCTAAGGTTAAAGAGAACAACTATACAGATGCACTGCCAAAACCCTAACTCTGGCAAGCCCTTCAGAAAAATTTGATAGATGATGGCATCAAAAGCCACTAACAGGCCCAGGAGTCCAATTCAACCAAGATCAGCCACCACCCCCTTGAGCACTTCATCTACTGGTCTATATTGTAATTACTCAGTTTATTTTGGGTCAGAAACGGAGGAGAAAGGTTGTTTTTCTCTTTCCTCACTGTATCCCTTGAATTTTATCCAGTAGTTTCTTTTTCTGAGTAATTGGAACTTGTTATGTTCTAATAGTCAACATCATACTGTGATATGACTGCAAGAGTTTTGAAAGCTAATCATTCATATGTTCCATGTTTCACAATGTCTACATAAAATTACCCTGCTTCGTTTTTCTGCTTATATAAGAAGCATGTGCTTTCCCCAACAACATCCCAGAAGTGAAGTATCACTCCTTTGAAACCCATTTTATTTGGCAGCAGACTGAAGTGGTGATTGCTCAAAAGGGCAAGCATAAAAGCAATCAGGAAACCTACCGTTATTTTTCGAGGTAAAATAATGTGAGGAAGAATGAGTTGAGCATACATTAATTGTTCTAAAAAGATGCATACAAGGCACAAATAGGTTGTAACATCTCTGATTTTTTTTTCCATAATGAAGGCATAAATAGGTGGAATATTTAAATTAATTGGAATTAACCAACAAGGAATTCACTAATAGCACTATCACACAAAAATGCAGGCAACTAAGATGATTAAAATTCTTCTAATGAAGAAGAATTTTCCTCTCATCACATCAACATAAGGGCAAGCACAAACCATGGTACAATGTTAATTTACTGTTTGAAAATTATTTTAGAATTTATGATATATAAGAATAATTTAAAATGTTATTGAATAATTATATAAACTTCTAACATTTTCAAAACAAATTAAAAGTGGCTGTTTATTCCAAGTTGTTACTTAGACCTTGACTGGGGCAAAGCAAATCTCATTTTAAACCAGCATTATATCTGGCTCAACTTACAAATTACAAACTTTGAAGGACATTTATACTGTTGTGGTTTAATAGCAAGACGGGGCGGGGGGGGAAACGGGACCTCAAAATGCCCTATACTTTATCTCTGCAAAGATGGGAGCATTGGATCATGGGATCATATCTGCCATAGGGTAATTTTTACCAAGGCACTCCCAATGTGTTACTTGTATGTACTCCAAGCTCATTTCCACATTAGACAAAATACGTAATTCTTTATGTGGCTTCTTTTGTCAAATATTCCAAGATAACAAAACAATCCTAAAATGTAAATTTTGTATTTGTAGCTTGAAGAATTCTTGTGTTGTTGATAGCAAAGTAGACCTTTTTAAGCCATTCATGTACTACATTTTAATTTTGTAAATGAAGTTTGGATCAGTGACTTGTAATAAAGTTTGATTGGACTTAACATGACTTGCTTATCCGTGATCCACAAGATTTAAAAATGAAAAATATTATAAAGAGACGTGCAATAAAGCACTCAAATTCTACAGTCTTGTTACATAGTCTACTTAATCAAGCTATTCTATTTTTTAAAAAAAATACTTGCAGTATCTTTATAAAACTATCTACACAGAGATATCTAGAACATAATCATTATTGCTGTGTTTGTATAACATCCTATTACTCCCGTGAGCTGGTGACATGCAATCATGGATCATTCAGTCAATTAGGAAATGGCTTTTTATGAATCTTCCCAATCATGGCAAAAGAGATTGTGAGGCTGTACCTGACATATTTTCTTCTACTCAGATATAAGAAACAAACAGGAGCTGGGGATAGAGTGCCTACAAAAGCCCCATTTTCATGGGGCCTCTCTTTGGTCTCAGGGGTAGGAAGGGATAATTAATCTTCTGGTAATCATTTTCCCTAATGGTATTGACCAGAGGAAGACAGTTTTGTCCTAAACAGCTTTTGGATTAGTTATCAGAGTTAATTAACTAGGTCAGAACATTTGTATGAATTATGATAATTCCTGACTTGTTCAATTACATTCAGACAAGATAGTAAGTACCTGTAGTAATAGTCTTCCAATCAGTGACACTGCACTCATATTCATATTTGTACATGTTATAAATATCTCCATGTTTCTGAAGTTGCATCCAACAAAATTCATAATGTAATTGCCAGATTTATGCCATAAATCATTGACATGAGTCCCAGGGTTGTGCATGGCTGATTAGAAGAAGGCATGTGTAAAACAGAGATCCATAAACAGGTACAATGGGCAGCCCTTTCAATTCCTTGGTTGTCTTTTTAATTCAGTTTCATCTCAGCATTGGAGATGAATGAGCTAATTGCATCAAAAATTATTACTAAAGGCTACCGGAAAGAGGCAAACTCAGAATACAAACTTACATAGAAACATCCCAAGCAAATGAATAGCACTCCTCATAAGGACCTTTCACTATTCAATCTATTTTTTCACCCAAAACTAATGTAAGTATTCCCAAGGTGACATCTAAGGCACCCATAAGCTGTGGATAGCTTTTTGCACTGAAGGCTATTTTTACTAAAGTTGCAAAGCAAAATGTCAGCCTTTAGCGTCTTCATTTCCACAAATGTCTATGGGCCACAAATAAACCCCATAATGTTAATGGCTAGCTACTACACAGTAAATACGCCCACCTGCCTGGAAAAGGTAAGGAGTGGCAATATGGTGATAAGTAGCATTCTTATAAATCAGGAAAACATCATTTTTTTAAATGAACCTGGGCATTTATGTGCCCAGAAGGCCCCCAAATTTGGGGAGCCATGCACTGGCAATGTTGGCACATTGCGATTGTCACTCAGACAAAAGGAAGGGCCATTTTAGATGTAACATGTCTGCACTAAGTCTGAAAAAGTTATTTTCCTAATTGACAAACCATTTTATATATATAAGCCAACTTATTTTCTGAAAACTGTTTCAACTGTGAGGGTTTTCCATAGGCTTTCTTCAGCTCTGATTGACAACACAATGAAGGATCCTCAAAACTTTTGAGCTCAAATATCCAGTCCTCTAAACTGAACTCATTCAAAAGTACCATCACCCTTAATATTTCAGTCTCCTTATGGATTCTTGCATTACATGTCTATATGTGAAAAAGAACAGTTTGGAACATGACGGCAAAAACCATGTAAAATCAACAGTACTGTACATTCTAATCAAGAACAATCTAGGGTTGTTGTTTTTTTAATGTGGATCAAAAACACCCCTGTTTCAGTCTCCGGTTGAGTATAAGTCAGATAAAATATAGTTTTACATTTACTATCAAAGACCATTCAAGCCTGATGAATGCAACTCTTCATCCTTCTTACATATGCACATTCACATAAACAAATGCTCCACACAGAGACACTATGAAAAGTTTCTTGGAGAAAGGACAGGATGTAAACCAAATCAGCAAATCAAACAGCAACCTAGCCACCAGCTTTAACAGCCCAGCTCAGATTTCCAAACCTCTGTCCTGCTGCCTGTCTTCCTTGTCTTTCTTTCGCAGGCGTTTTGTTTGTTTCGCCTTTTTTCGTCCAACTTTAAAACTTTTTTTTTCCCAGCAAGTCAAGTGCTTCTTTAAGACGAACAAGCTACGACAGAGCAGAAAGCATCCCCCTCCGCAGAAAGCATCCCCCTCCGCTCCCTCCTTTTATCCAAAATAACAGAAAAGAGCCTGCCCTGAGGAAGAAAATTAAAGGACAATGCCCAGGCTACCGGCGCAAATGTCAGACCAGAGCAAATTTATCCGGGAGGAGGGTCTCCCAAAGCCCACCATGCGCATCTCATTTGATCGATGAAGGCAGGTTGGTGAGCATATTATATTTCCAGAAGAAAGACATTAGTTTTTTAGTTTTATTTACGCCCAAAGACCCATACAAATAAAACCCCTGCGCCCACGCCCACCACCTCTTACAGGACGAAAAGATTTGGTCTCATAATCAGTCTTTTCTTTAAAGGTACCCAAAGTTCGCTTAAAAGTAGCCGGACAGCTACCTGAACTGTTCGGAAGAAGAGATGCTGCTGCACCGACGCACATATAAATACCCCCTTAATGTCTTTTTTTTTTTTTCCAAGCGCAGCCTCTGTCAAAAAATAATAATTAAAATTAAAAAAAAAAAAAAAAAAGACCCGGGACTTTCTGAAGCTGGAAGAAAGGAAGCAGGGGAAGAGAAAAAACAAAAACAAAACCAAGGCGTACCTTTCGTTGCGACGGCATTCATTTCATTTCCCCACTGCTCCTCCACGGGAGGGGGCTTCCTGAAAAAGAGAGGGAAGGCTGAGGAAACTGAGCCCTCCTCCTCCTCGTTTTCTAGTTTTTTTTTTCCCTGTCAATGGCCACGCCGTCAGGCGACGGGGTACTGGATTGCCCCCCCCCTCCCGCTCCCCTTTGCTTAACCCCCCGCCGGCTTTTATCCCAGCCAGTCAGCTTAGCGACGGCGCCGTCTGCTGAGACAGCCCTGAGGGCAAGCGACTCTCGAGCGGCGGGCGGGAAAAGCGGCGGCGGCTACTGCTGCTGGCGCTACCTGGGCAGCTCCCTCGCTCGCTCCTGACGGCAAGGAAAAGCCGGCGGGCTTCGGGAGGGAGAGATTGGCGTTTTGGGGCCCTTGCGCGATACCAAAGCAGAGAACCCGAGCGTGGCGTGTCTTTTCCCCACCCCCACCCCCACCCCCACCCCCACCCCGGGTCTGACCCGCACCTGCTGCTAACGCGTGCGCCAAGGTGTGCAAGTTTCTCCTGAGGAAAAGGAAATCGTTGGAGTCTTATGCTCAGCTCGGGTTAGTTTCCTGAGTGTATAATGAAATCCCTCATATGGCCAGCTAATAGTCTTCAGATATGATATACAAATGAAGTATGTGAAAGTGAAAAGTTTGTTAAGGAGGCTGGAGCCCTGGTAGTTACTGTCTACATATTTCTATCTATCTATCTATCTATCTATCTATCTATCTATCTATCTATCTATCTATCTATCTACCTATCTATCCATCTATCTATCTCTATGTATGTATGCATGTATGTATGTACTGTATCTAAACTATCTACTGTAATCTATATCTATCTATCTAACATCTATCATCAATATCTATCTATCATCTATCATCTATCGCTATATCTACCTACGGTATCTACTGTATCTACTATATCTATGCACTGTATTTATCTTATCTATCTATCTCTATCTATCTCTAACTATGTGCTCTATTGATCTATCATCTATCTATCATTCTGTCTGTCTATCTATCTTTCTATCTATCTATCTATCTATCTATCTAACATCTATCATCTCTAATATCTATCATCTATCGCTATATCGATCTACTGTATCTATATATATCTACTATATCTATTTACTGTATCAATCTTATCTATCTATATCTACATAATGTATCTACTGTATCTATGTACTATATCTATGTACTGTATCTATCTTATCTATCTATCTATCTATCTGTCTGTCTGTCTGTTTATCTCTACTACTGTGTCTACTGTATCTGTCTACCCTATATCTATGTACTGTATCTATCTTATCTATCATTATCTATCTATCGATATCTATCTATCTATATCTATGTATGTATGTATGTATCTATCTACTGCATCTATCTATGTATCTAAACTATCTACTGTAATCTATATCTATATCTATCTATATCTAACATCTATATCTATATCTATCTATCTATCTATCATCTGTATCTATCTACTCTATCTATCTACTCTATCTATGTACTGTATCTAATCTATCTATCTATCTATACCTACTGTATCTACTGTATCTATCTACTATATGTACTGTATTTATCTATCTGTACTCTTCTATCTATCTATCTATCTATCTATCTATCTATCTATCATCTATCTCTATATCTATCTACTGTATCTATCTATCTCCTCATCTATCTCCTGGCTTTATTATTTTTACAAATAAGTCATGGCCATGAACAGCACTCCTATTTTCCCTACAACAACAACCCTTTGAGGTAGGTTGGGCTGAGAGAGAGTGACTGGCTCAGTTACCCAGCTGGCTTTCATATACAAAAAGAAAATACTCAAGTATCACTATAGTGTTTAATATCATCTAATTCAATGATAAGAATCACACTATCAAGCCTCTTGCTTGAAGAACGTATGGTTTTGATTTTAGAAGTTCTCTCTCCCCCTGAGCCTCTTGCACCAAGCTTTCCTCTTTGTAGTGAATAGTCCTCAAGTGTCAGAAAAGATGCTCTAGGTCAGGGATGGCGAACCTTTTCAGCACCAAGTGCCCAAACTGGAATAAGTGTGCATGCATGCATGTGGGAGCACCGGAAACCTGAAGACCAGCTGGCTGGTGTGCATGCGTGTGGCAGAAACTAAAGAGCAGCTGGCGATGGCGGCGTGCCCACAGAGAGGGCTCTGCATGCCACCTCTGGCCCACATGCCATAGGTTCGCCATCACATCTCTAGGTCCTTTCAGGCTGCCCAGTAGTATTACGGTAGGTGAGAAAGTCAGTTTCTATGACAGCCTTTGTGTAGCATAATCCTGCAGAAGCTGCATTGAAAGATAACATTACAACAGCTCAGTAGAAACTGATCCAAAGTATGTAGCTCTCCTCAAACTAATGATGTACCTTGGACACAACTACTCATTGTCTTAAACATTGTAATTTAGTCTTTTTGGGGAAAGAAGAATGTACAAATATTATTGTAAACTGTATTTCGTCTTTAGCAAAAAGAAATCTTGGCTTGCCAATTAGCACCGTTTCACCAAATTTAACTGCTTTAACAATTGTACCAACCTGAGAACTTGTAGCCAGATGTTAGCATAAGGAGATGGATAAATAAGTTGAAATATGTTTGCATGTGGAACAAAATTACAAACCAAACATTGAAGATTGTGTCCTCAAATCAGATAAATAAATACCAATCCTCACTATTTCCTTTCTTCCTGGTCCTCCCCACTTCTCCTTTTATCCTAAAAATAAGACCTAAGATAGACCATGTCCCACTAACCAATTTTAAAGGAGAATTATTTTAAATATGTTCTCATTTCAGCTCACAATAGATGTAGCTTAACATTGTTTCTCAATCAAGTCAGCCTTCCAGATTGAATCAACCATTTAGCTCCAATATTTTAAAATATATTTAATGATTCTGAAGGATATTTTATAAGATTAATTCAGGTAAGTTTGAATAAAATAGCATAAATTTATTTTAGTTTATTTAAATTTAGTAACTGGATTCCTAAAATCGGGGTAGCTTTCTTTTGGCTTTCTTGGGTCTTGAAAAAAGCTGAGCTACTGTAATAAATAGCACAGAGGTGCTGTATTTGTGGAAGGTCATAGGCACTTCTAAATCATTTTTGAAACATATTTTTGAATACCCTATTATATGGGTATTCTTTGGGGCAAATGATGCAAACACCATGACTTACTAGCTCCAAGCATCCTGATTTTGGTTATAATTTTGACATGGTGAGTTTGACCCCTGTGGCTTACAGGAAAACAGATTTAGATGAAAAGTTAGGGAAATTTTACCAAAAATAATATCAGTTCAATAGTGAAAGTATCAAGGGAGGTAATGGGCTCCCCATCACTAGAGGTTTTTCCAATAACACAAAAAAAAGTCATATACGGCACAAAGTAAGGAATTGCAGTCCAAAATGATTGAAGAAGGGGTGTATTGTGCCTCTGGATCACTTTTTTTTTCTTCTGGCAACTCCCTGGACTAGTCCCTGCAGTTTCCTCTGACAACGTTTTTCAGAAGTGGTTTGCCATTGCTTTTTTCCTAGGACTGAGGTTACCCAGCAGACTTCATGCCTAAAGTGGGACCAGAACTCAAGGTCGCCCAGTTTCTAGCCTGCCTTAACCACTAGGTCTTGTATATCTTGTGAATGCATGCATGCTGTTTCTTTCTCTACTCCCAAAAGTTCTCATTCCCCAACAAAATGGACTGATTGAAATCCATAGCATTTGTTAAGAATTAAATTTATTCAAGTATTTTTATTTATAACTTTATAATATGCAGTATACAAAAATACTATAGCGTAATGAAAAATATTAAAATATTGCTTCTCTCAAATCTTATGTCATTGTGGGATGATTCAGTATTTTCTCTGTATTACTCAGGGAATATCTAATTTTTGTAATATAGGTGAAATAAATATAAATTATGCAGTAATTTATATAAAATTGTAAAGCGTCTTGTAGCATCACACTAGTTAAACAATTCATTTTATTTACTCTGCTGTTTGACTGTAAATGCAATTAATACATAAACCATTTGTTTAAAATGAGTATATCAAGGTAATTTGAACAATTTACAGTTTATCACTTTTCTTGAAATGAATTGTAGTGGTACATTATTCTTATCATTATTCTGATATTCTATGAACCTAGTGAAGATATAAAACAGCCTTCTTCCTGACATCCACCAAATATACTGAAAGTACAACTATCAAAATTTCTAGGTAACATGACCACAGTTGGGATGGTTGTAGGGTGAGCATTTATTAAATTTGACTATACTACCAATATCAGAGACTCTACTACACCACTTTAATACAGCTGATATGTCATTAAAATGTAATGGCATGTTCAATAAATGATAAGTGAGCTAACTAATCAACTTAGTTATCACTTCAAAATATGTCAACTCTAGCATATTTATCTAAAAGCCACAGTCCTTGCCTCTAATTTTAAATACGGTATATTCAACTGTGGAAACCTAAGCCCAATTCATACTTTGATAACTAATAATGCAAATATAGGAGTCAACTCCATTTCTCTTCTTGGAACAGGTAATGAGTTGGATTCATAGCAGAGTTCCATTGAGAATGTTCTTGCCTAGAGAACTGAAATTTACAGAATTTTAACTGATTTTGATTTCTCTGAAGCTCTTACCTGCTTATTTCTCATTGTTGCAAAAAATTCTTAACTGATCACAATAGATTTTAAGATGTATCTCCTGGATCAGAAAAGTTAAATAAATAGGCAGCAATTGCTGGGTTATTCATCCACCAGCACATACAATTTTGATATGCAGATGTTACTAGAGTAATATGAGAAGGGAAGTGCTTCTTATAATACTGTGCTCCATGGAGATGAAAGAGATGAAGTAAAATGAAACTGATGACATTATTATTACGTTTAATAATAATAAAGATATGCTGATTTGATAAATTTATGGTTAAATACTGGATTATTTGAGAATCAAATTCAGCACACACACACACACACACACACACACATATATATATACACATACACATACACATACACATACACATACATATATATATACACACACATATACATACACATACACATACACACATACATACACACATACATACATGATTTTATTACCGGTAGTAAAAGTATTAAACACTTTCCCTTGTCTTTTTTTGTTTATTGGTGAATGTCTACATCTTTGTCTAGAGTTCCACATTTGTGCCTAGAAACTCATGTAATTTTAGGGCAAAATACATGCCTTGGATATTGCTGTAGCCAGGAACCGAACACATGCAATGCAAATATCTATTAATGTATTTATAACATACAGAGAATTTCCTGGAAAAACAAGGCAATGCAGAATAATTTATAGCATAATTTAT